CCATTGTCAATCGGATCGAAGAAGGAAACGTCAATTTGCTCATGGCTAAAGTGATCAGTAGGTTCAGCTCTCAAAGTTGGCTGTCTATCAGTAAATGCTTACGTTTTGTTATCGAAGTCAGTGCTATTGTCTGCATCGGTCAGAATTCCTATTTCGTACACCACTTTCCTGATGACGTACCTGGAATGACGAAACTGAGTTCAAGAAAGTTTCATATTTTATCTAAATTTGCTTTCAAAATTATTTCGCGTTACATAATGTCTGATGCTGACGTGAATGAAACTTTCGCCATTCGCGCTTTGAACCAGTTGCTGCAAATAATCCCTGATGATGACATCAAATCGAAACTTTCACCGTTATGCCAAAAGCCTTCCCTTGAAATGTGTATTCACGTTCGAATTCGAGAAATTTTCGATTATCTGTGAACATACGAGTGAAACAAGGTGGACCGATACAGGCCTGTATGTGCCAGAGGGAGAGAGAGAGAACAATGCACCTAAAGTGGGCGGAGCTTGAGAGGGGTTGTCTTCTTTTTCTATTGCATGCAAACCTAGATACCACCTTGTTCCTCTCTTATAGTCATTGGCATCAATATTCATTAACTAGAGCACGATAACTCATTTACTTGCGCTTTTTCTTCGAATTTCCTCACTCACGTTGTTACGACTGAATCGAGTTTTCAATTCTCTATCCAACGATGCCAAAACGAATTCTGTGGCTCGAATGGTTCTTGAGAAACTTCGAAAAAAGCAGCGTCATGTTCAAGTAGATTTTGCAACTCAAAAAAAAAACCACGCAATTCTAAAACTTCTTGAATTCAAGCATTTTTTGAGAAAACTGCCAACATTTTCTCATCCATGGTTCACTTCCTAAAATGGCCATTTATTTGTGTCTAGAATGATGTACAAATGAGCCTTCTTGCTCATTTTGCCTCCGAGAAATGAGCAAAAATGGGACGGAAAACATGGAATTTTGGCATAATCTTGCACCTAACTGTTTGATATTCAAATTTCGCTTTCTGGGCCAAAACTATTCGAATTTCCTCACTCACGTTGTTACGACTGAATCGACTTTTCAATTTACTATCCAACGATGCCAAAACGAATTCTGTGGCTGGAATGGTTCTTGAAAAACTTCGAAAAAAGCAACGTCATGTTTTCATCAAGTCAGTCAAAAAACGACGATCATTTTTCTAATTTCATAGATAACAGAAGACTGTATTTTTTCTATATAACCTCCCCCCCTGAATTTAAAGCTGGATCCGCCCCTGGCCTGATGATGAGGCGAAATGAAAGTTTCACTATCTAAAACTTCAAAATCTACAAGTTGAACCTGATGGTGACAAAAAAGTCGAAACTTTTACCAATCTCACAAACAGCTTTTTAATTAGACCCTCGTATGTTTCAACCTGCGCACGAATATATTGGTGGAACAAGGCAGGCAAATAGTAGCGTGTATAGAAGAAAGACAGCGCTTCCGAAATAGGCGAAGCTCCGCCCATTCACCCAATTTTGCACGCACGTCTTGTTGCTCTTATCTACCTTTTGGTATCAAATTGCTTCAACTAAACTAGACAAATTTGAAGATTTCTGGCAAAATGAGGTTGAACTTTCGAAGGAAATTCAAATATTGTTAATAAACTTGCACAGCACTTACAAGTCTTTTGGTGTTGCTTCGTTCGTGGTGGCTTCTTCACCTTCAGCGCCTTCTAGGATAGCAACGGCTGGTTCTTCGGTGCTTAGAGCAGCTGCTAACACCGTTCCATATACAACTAAGGCCCCAAAAGCCCACATGTTTTTAAGGTTTTTGCTGCCAAACTGTGTCAATCCCGCAAAGAGTGGCTGGAGCTGAAACTGAACTGAGACCTCAGCTTGTTGGAATATTCTTTTTATATCGATGACCGGGAGAAATCCAAATTGTCATTAGCACCTCAATGACGATCGATTTGTTTAAATCATTTTGATGAAAAGTTGCTAATTGTCGATACAGGAACGATTCGCGAAACGTTTTGCGCCGCAATTGTTGATTTGTTGCAACATTGATGCTTGAAACGTTTATACAACGAGGCAACGATG